ATTCTATAGAAAATGGCATCACCATTCTTAGTTCTCATTTGGCATTGTTTATGATATCTTTTCCATTCTTATATTCTTTTGATGAATTAAATTACAATACTTCCACCATCATGATTATCCCAGCATGTCTATTGAGAAGATCATATTTGTCTAAGTCTTTTCTGATAAGCTGCTAGCTTCTAAATCACCATATATTCATTCATTTCAAGTATTAATAAAGATACAATTCCAAATTTTTATTGATATAATCAAGAAATGAATTTTCAGCTTTAGACATGTAGTCTTGAATATTCTCTTCTGGTTTTTTCCCCCTTAACTAAAACAGAAGTTTTAGTTTTGAGTTTTTGTTTATTTAATATTAATCTGGATCAAAGCAAAAGTAAATCTGGAGACAGCGCAGTAAAAATAGATTTCTTTCTCCCTACTTTATTAGCATGAAACGAGCTGTTTCGTTAAACTACCTGAATAAATCCAGTGAGGATACTTTCCAGGTAAGAGCATTATTTGCCTTATTCCCAAAATAGTAATAACAATTAATGAATACTTTTTGCATTACTGTCCTGCTAACCCCAGAATGAGAAGGAATAGGGAAGAAAATGAATATACAAGTGAGATGTGTTCAGTTAGGGGTTGGATGTGGTTTTTAGTTGTGAACATTTCTTCGTATTATTTAGTTTGATGCTCCCCTTTTCCAGACACAATTACAAAATGAGTGAAATTGTGGACAAATTTCCAAGTGATTGTTTCTGAGATGATAATCATACCAGTAATAGCTTGAAAAACTGCCACCCTTCTCCTCAAAAGAGCTATTGTATTCTGGATTATGCAAGGATATGGCATAATGCTAGAGGAATATGTAAAATAAAGCATAGGGAATGAAGTATGCATACATAAGACAGGGAAGGAGGTTTATATGGGGCTGCTGTTGAAGATCATTCAGAAATGTATGAAGAGTATGCTTCATGCAGGTATACCCTTGCTGTTTCATTCCAGTGCAATTCAGGATTGCCAATTATCATTTTTAAAGGCCTGAATGATACAGGACCAAATTATTTGCAAGATCATCTCCCACTAGAGTAACTGTGCTCCAGGTCCTTTCCCTTAAATGTTGCCATGTAGGGGCATCTAGGCAATGCACCTTCTTTATCGGCTGTCCTTTGGAACACCCTCTCCTGAGATCTGGCAGACCCCTACTCTCCCAACTTTCTGAAAAACCTTAAAAGACTTGGTTTTTCTCCAAATGTGTGAGGTTAGACCCGGAAACATTCCTTGTGGATATGTGGGCACTGGGAGGTTTTAGGGGGGTTTTCTACCATTTTTAATTGTTTTTTACTGTTGACAGCCACCTAGCATTGTTTTGTAAGATGAGTGATGATTTGGGATGATATGACATTTAATTGTGGAGGCAAAGGTTTTTTTTCCTTTACCATCTTTGTGAAATCCAGGATTTACAGTCTAATATAATATTTGTTGGATATAAATGTGAGCATACATTAGATCATTTTTAATGCACACTGGGAGACAGACTTGTGTAGATTGGCAGATTCAAATTCATAAAAAGAGAATTTGTTTTTCAGGCTTCTCAACATCTTCGAGCTGAGAGTAGAGGCTTCAGTGCAAGTAGTGTGGATCTTTCCTCTCACGCCTCTAACTGAGTCTACCCATGTTGCCATCTCAAATATTACCCGCTTCTCTTATTATTTGGATATTTCAGTTGCAACCTCTTCTCAAGTCACCAGCTCTCACCATGGATGGTACTAACCAATGTGGAGCTACTGCCAGATGAGATAAGAAAACTCTCTCTAGTGATTTGTTATGGACTTTGCACTCTGGCTGAATGCACTTTCCAAGTTGTGTTTTGATGATTGCACAGAATGTGCTCCAAGAGCTCTTACATGAAGTATTGGCTCTCTGAAGTGCAAAGACATAGCTCTCCCTTAAGAAGAGCTGTATTTCTACTACACAGTACTGCTGGGAGAAGTACATCTCCAGCTGGGTTCTCATGCTGACTTATTTCTTCAGTGCCTACCTCTAGGCTTGACTTGATAGGATTTAGTTGAATTTATTCTTGCACTCTAACAACTCTTATCTTCATCCTGCAGCCTTTTATGATGAATACCTTTCCAGTTGCTCCTAAACTTATGAAGCAGGAAGAAGTTGACTAGTTCAGTTTTGTGGGAAATTATTTTATATAAGGGATAAAGTATGAAGAGGCATGTAGATTCTACAGAGGCTAAATATATGTTCACTTTCTACAAGCCTTGTCTACATCTTGACTCATCAGTGGTGTCTGTCTTCAAATGAACAACAGTAATACAAAGCAATGGACATATGTTACCCTTGATTTACTTCTGATTGTTGTTATTTTAATTTAATAAAATGATCACAAGAAACAAACTTGCCAAATGTTCTCATTTCATTTGTCTTGGATTTCTATCTTCACTGAATAACAGTTATGGCAATAGAAAAGAGAAAGAGCAGTATTGAGCATACAAAAACTGTCATAATTATTGCAGAGAAAAGTGGAGAGACATTACCATTTTCTTAAGGAGAAGAGGAAGAATAAACATCTGTACTGTTGAACACAAGTCATAGTTATACCTATATGAGAGGGTGACTTTTGGCCAGTCACTCTCTAAGCGCAACCCATCTCATAGGAATGTTGTGGGGAAAACGGGATGCAAGATTATGAGGCATGTTTGCTGCCTTGATTTTACCAAAACACATATTTAAAAGGTGAAATACAAATTAACAACAACCCATCTGGCTGACTGTGATCAACCGTAATAATGACTCTGCATTGCCAAAAATTTTATCTGTTAATTATAAAAGGCTACTCTGTGTATGCATTACAGCAAGACAGTATTGGGGAAGAACTTGATGCAAATGAAAGCCAGTATCACCTAAAAGATGAGCAGTTATGATTTCATATTTTTGCATATATAATTATGATGATCTGAAACTTTATGGAAAATCAGAAATAAAAATCCAATTATTGACAAATACCGTAAGAATTTTGAACACAGATATAGCAATGAAATTTATTGTAGAAAGACATGCTACAGGAATAATAAGTCACGGTGAAATCATGAATTGTAATAGAATTTAAATGCCAAATGGCCAAATCATCAGGAGCCATCATGTTAAAGCCTATAAGTATCTGGGCATTTTACAATTGGATAACAGCAAGGATAGACAAGTTAAAATGTGATTAGTAAACAATATATCCAAAGAGTGAGAAAATTGCTAAAGATAAAATTGAACAGTGAAAACACTTATCAATGCCATTAATACCCGGGCCATACCTGTGATATGATATCTTGCTGGAATTATTAATTAGGCAGAAGCTGAGCTGGACAATTTAGACTGAAATCAAGAAAGCTAATGACTATTCAGTATACATTATATCCTCGCAGTGATATTGATAGATTATACTTGCCCTGCAGAAATAGAAGCAGAAGTTTACTTCAAGTCAAACTGTCAAAGAAGAAATGCTTGCATTGGCTAACTACATAAAAACAGCCAAGAACAAGCACTGATGCAAGTTAAAATTGGAATTTACTTAAAGACCAGGAAACAAAATATAAATATTGTAATAAAAATATAAATAAGATTGCTGACAAGGAAAAGCATTACATGTCAATTTGCACATATAATTGATGTGGCAATACCAAGGGATAGTAGAATAGAAGACAAATTGGACAAGATCACAAAGTATCAAGCATCTGAAAATCAAAACTGAAAGTCAATGACATAAGCCAGCTGTAGTGATCCTAATAGTTATTGGCTCACTGGGTGCCATATCAAAAAGAACTTGGACAGCACTTAGAAAATCTGTGCTGACAAACTTTTCATCTGTCAATTACAAAAGGCCATATACTATGTTGATATATTACAACATCCTAGATTCTTGGGAAGAACTTAATGTGTATGAAGGCTAACACTATTTAAAGAACTTGCAGCTGTGATTTCACATTGTTGAATATATAAAATTAATAATGCTCACCCTGGCTAAAGCTAGCTTATATAAGCCATAAAAATGTAAATGATTAGTAGGTGCAGCAATGAGTTAGGATTTTCTCTACCACTTTGTGCCATTGTCAGTTAACTGAATCTTTGCAATCCAGACATAGGTTAAATTGGTTAACCAATTTTAAAATGTGGTTGTGATTCATTGTTAGTTTTATAAGGAGACTAATGCAAATTACAGTAATGGTTTGGACCAGAACTTTGGGCCTTGCTTACTGCCAAAGAATACTACTGTATGCACTTACAGTATTGAGACAGGTCTTGCTTTGCAATAGTTTGCTGAGTTGTGATAAGAAAAGTCCCTATAACCAAAAGTGAGGTTAGGCATTACTGTTTAACAATTAGATACCGATCAGGTGTTATCAACTGATTTTTTTATCCAGTTACAATAAAATAGAAAATAGGGAATGCACCACTATCTAAGCAGTTAACTTTTTTGTAGGATATGTAAAGTTTTGGCGACCAAAGCCCTTTTATGGAGGACAGATCCATTTGATTTTACTGTTTGTTTTGAAGTATCGAAAAGCACCCTCTGGGAATTATATGAGATTATCCATTAAAAAAACAAACATTAGTCTTCTTTTCCCCTGAACTTTATAGTTTAGATTTTATGCTTACTTAAAAACACTATATTGTAATCCAAAGAAATCTAGAACATTTTGCGTTCCAGCAATTCCTTAAATGCTTCGTCGGTTTTGATTCAAGAAACTAAAACGGTTGCCCTTCTGGTCGACTCTTCCTATTGCTCCAGCTCGCCGCTGACCTAGGCGGCTTCGGTCAGAACCACTAGCCCCACTTGCCGAAACAAAAAAAACCGACAGAAGACCCGAACTTCAATCTATCCAGGGTGACGTCATCCCTTTCGAGCCTCTTCTGCTTGGTCTTCCGCCCCTTCTCCCCCCCACCCGCCTGAGCAGGCGGAATCCATTCCGGGTCGGAAAAGGTACCGGAAGTGCCAGGTAACCCTCTTTTCCCCCTCCTTTCTGTACCCGCAATAGTGGAGCCGAGTGCGGACCCCGTCCCCTCTCCCCTTTGGCGCTGGGCGCGCTCCCTCTCTGGGCGGAGCCGGGGCGGGGCCTGATGTCAGGTTCTCCTCCCTGGTCGGTCGTAACCCTTGTCCTGGGTAAGATTCCCGACGCGCCCGACTTACAGGTCGCCCAAGGCGCCTTTTAGGGAGATCGGCTTTTTCTTGGGTCTGCCTCACTATCTCGCCGTGCCCGCGCCTGGCTCTGTCCTCTTGGGGCAGACCGGTGTTTCGCCAAGTTTCCCCCTCCTTTGCCCCTCCCTGACCCACGATTAAAGGTGCTTGTGCCTCTGCAGTTCGAGCCCCGCTTGTCACCTTGGTCGACAAGAAAAGCTTTACCGACACCTCCCTTTTCTGCGCAAGCTGACAGGAGCAAATTCACCAGGCGCAGCTTTCCCATTACTAAATCTGCTAGCCCCTTTACCTGTTGAAACTGCCTGTTACACAGGAGGTAACCAATTAGAAGGGAAAAGGTAATTTTTTATCTTGTACGATGTCGCCATAGTATTCCCAAATGTCAATGAGATAGATTCTTTATTCAACAAAGGAGTCTCGGTTCCTACTATTTAAGGTTTCATCCACCCTCTTACTTGAAATAGAAATCTAGGTTTCAGGGAATATTAAAAATGTGTTTTTTTTTTTTAAAAAAGAACAGAATACCAGAAAGTTTGCAGCTTAGTTATAGCATTTACCCATGTCTGACCCCTCTGATCTAAAATGTATAAATAGCAGGAGGACATGCTATCAATTGAGTTGAATAATACAGGTCTACTGCAATATTCTAAGGGGCACATAAAAAAGAACTGTAAAAGGCAAATTGAAAATTGGTAATAATTATAATTAAAAATTCATGGATGAATTTTTAATTATAATTATAAATATTTTATTATAAAGGAAGAACCATGTATAACAATAAAATCTATTTCACTGTTCGAGTTTTTGAAGGTCTCCCCAATTTTCCAATACATTTTGTTTATGGAAAATATTTTTAAATAATTAATTTGGAAATTATCTTAAATAATCAACAACAAAATGTTTATCCATTCTTAGGTCAGTAGGATAGGAAGTAAAGTAACATTAAATAAGAAATTTCAAAAGAAGGTTCTTCATACATCTTTGCTGAAGTTGAACCTATAAACATTTATTTGACATGAATTAGCAATAAATTGTTTCCCAAAGGAAGTGAACAGCAGGATAGTAGCAATTATACATGTGCTTTAATAATTCTGAGTTTAAAATAATGTACAATATTTAGTACTCAGGATGAGTAAATACTTCAGAATCAAACGCAACTTTTCTCTAAAAATTATTTATTTGACACAACAGTTTATCATAGCTATTGCTTTCATGTTTTGCTCAATTTGCCAGACAAATCTAGCTGATATTTGTGTGGCAAGAGTTAGTTGGACTAGATCCAAAGAAAAGTTTTTATTCCTAACCAATTCATGAATACTGCTGATTTATGTATTGACAGATTATATTTCCAATCTGTATGCATTTTATGCACTTATTTGTAAAACATATACTATACAGACATATACATACACAGATACATACACATGTGCATTCAGCTACATAGAAGTTTTGGTTTTAGATTAAAAGCCATTACAGAATTTGCAAGTGCTATATGAAGTTATTGTATATATTGAATATTTAAGGTAGATATTTCTTTTCTCATTATATACACACATATGTAAAATATTCTAAAACAGTTAAGGCTGTAATTCAGGGCATGCTTACATAGGAAGTTGACAAACAAATTCAGAAACATGCTTAAGATTAATGTGTTCGATATTCAGTATACAGTATATTGTAGGTGTTTCAACATTATTAGAAAGAGTATAGATGTATAATTTATCAGTAAATAAGTTATTTGTTCATATTATATATTTGTGTGTTTCCCTCTTATGAAATGAAAAATAAAAACAAATGTTACTGGTTCTTTTATGTACACCCAGGTTAATGGGCTCCAAAACCCCAGAGGGCCAACAGAAGCACATTTGGCCTTGAGGCAACATACTCACAAGTACTCAAAGGCTAGTACTCACTGTTTACTATACCATTCTTTCCTAATTCTACTATAGTTCCTGTTCCTCTACTACAGGTAGTCCTCAACTTATAACCATTCATTTAGTGACCATTAAAAATTACACAAGCACTGAAAAAAGTCACTTATGACCATTTTGCACACTTATGACCTTGCAGCATCCTCATGGTCACATGATCAAAATTCAGATGCTTGGCAACTAGAAGTATTTATAATGGTTTCAATGTCCCAGGATCAATTTATCATATTTTGTGACCTTCTAACAAGTAAAGCCAATTGGGAGCCCAGATTCACTTAATCACTGTGTTACTAACTTAACAACTGCAGTGATTCACTTAACAACTGTTGCAAGAAAGGTTGTGAAATGGGGCAAAATTCACTTAACTGTTTAGCTTTGCAATGGAAATTTTGGACTTGTTGTGGTCATAAGTCAAGAATTACCTGTACTACTCTTTGTGAGTTCTACTTCTGGAGAACACTCTTCTGTTTGCCTTAGACTGTTTCAGGCTGTTTTAGTTTCCCACAGGAACATAAACCATCATCACTAGTTCCCTCTCTGCTCAGCTTTTATATTCACCAGCTGTTGGGTTGGGTAGAGAGAGGTCTTAAAGGGACAGGGCACCAGCAGCCCAGGATGCTGACCATTTTGCAGGCAGCCTGTCCTCTCATAAGCAAAGTAAAAATAAATTGTGAGCAAGCTAATGTTGCTTGCTTCTGAAGAGTATTTGCACATTCATCTTCATTTATTTCTATATAAATGCCCATACATGCAGTACAATTAAAAGGTAAAACAATATTGCTTCAAAATAAATGTGGGAAATAAACTATTTTCAAATACTTTTGTTTTTTGTTTTATTTATCAATTTAAAATATCTAACAGGAATTATATTGGAATCCCTCTTAGAAGATACATTAATTAGATGTAATATTCATATGTAATAGCCATAACATTAGTCACCAGGTAGATACTGTCAAATGTTTGTCTGTTTAACAAATGCAGATTGAGATACTGAATTATAGATGGAATTATTTTCCGTACTGTAGTTTCCTGGCTATTACTGCAGTTAATACTTTTGCACCCATAGTAACAGAAGAGAGTACAAAGTCTACAGCTTGTGCCTCTTGTGAGATTTTTCTGAGGTTTTAATATTACCGTAATATAAAGCCTCATGAAATAATAAATGGAAATGGAAAGATTAAATGATTATACATTTCTAGCAATATGGGTGCCAACAAATCAGTAAAAGTTCTGTGCCTGTGGTGGAGTATAAGCCAGAATCACAAAAGGGAGGGGCTCTTTCCCAGGAAGCACAAAGAAGTTGGAATCTTTGGTATGCGGAATGAGTGAAGGCGAGACTCCCTCTAGCTGTTCACAGTGTATATGTGGTAGTTATGCAGATAAGTGCCTTAGTCTGGCAAGATTTCTGTCTATAGATGAGCAACAATAAAGAAACTTCTTGGAAGCAACTCCTTGTATTGTTCTTGGTTCCTTGGGCCTGACTGTGCCATTCAACTAGTTTCATAGACTGCAATGTCTCTGTCATGTCAGTGATTTTTTTTAATGTGATATCAGAAGATTGATAATTTGGTTATAGGAGTCCTTGGTTAACTGAATATAAAAATCATAAAACCGCGATTAACAGATTCTATCTTAGTAAATAACTGTCCATCGTTGGCCTGAATTCTGTGTGTGTTTCAGATGATAACCCAATTACTTTTTAGCTTTCATTACTGATTTCCAATATTTTCTGATTGACATTTTTCAAAGTAATCAAATTATTCTGAGTGTTGAAGCTCCAATTTAGGCTTTGCTGCTATAAATGCTTGATATGATTCATTAGTGGTGTTAATAAAAGTGGATCTTTAACCGTCTTCTGTAACTATATAAAATTACAGACTCTTGAGAGTTTCTCTTTTGCTGAGGCAAAAGCAATTATAGAATTCATAATGATTATCTTAAATGCATTCCAGAGAGTTAATGTATTAGTAGAGCCCTGAGTTATTTCAAAGAATAGATTTCCTTCTTAATATATTTCACAAAAAGAAAATCTCTTTAGAGAGAAATATTTGAATATATAATACCATCTACAATTGGTTAATTTATAATTGTTAAGCCATGGTAGACCAGTGATTAGAATGCAGTATTGCAGGCTAATTCTGCTGACTATGTCATCTCCAACAGTGTTGGCTGTCTAGCCTCTGTTTATACAACTTCAGCAAACAAAACAATAATGTCCATTGTTGAACAGCTCTTACTGTTATAATTTTTTCCTATATCCAACCAAACTTTAAGTCACTGTTTCTTGTCCTGGCTTCTGAAGCAACTCATTCAACAACTCGAGCAATTTACCTAACCATTTCACATCAGTGATTGATCGGCCATCCATCCATTCATCCATCCATCCATCCATCCATCCATCTATCTCAATTTATTAGCTGTCCAATTCTAAATGATTCTGGGTTCATACAAAACTGGAAAATCCATAAAAACATATAAAACAATAAATCAAACATAGTCCAGCCTAAGACAGTCTTATAAAAAACATTAATCAAACAGGGTCCACAGAAATATAATGATATATTGATACATGAAGCTTCAGAATTTTGAAATTATCCTCAAAGGTCTATGCAAATTAGATAATATATTTTTGTCTCAAATCATTTATAAATATATTGTACAGCATGGGACCTAGAAAAAGGAGGAGGCACACATTATGTTTTGTTTATTTTGGGTTTAGATTTAACCAGATGATTGAGTAGAAGGCTGTCTGGGTTCATAAGATTTGAAAGCATTCATTTAGCCTATGCACCTTAGCTTTCCTACTATTTGACATTTATACTGGTTTCTCTTTTATTTTTTGAAAAGTGTTTCTGTATTAATCTCCATGTTCCAATACCTTTCTAGCACCTACAAATCTCACAGGCAAGGAGGAGGTTTCCCTTCAAACTGTGTTTTGTCTACAAATGATATGAAACCATTGTTTTGCTATCATGAGCAATTCAAAGAATATAATTTGAAATTTTTTTTGCAGAAGCTGAGGTGTTAATATGGCTCGTATTACCCTTGAAGAACTAAATGAAATGGATGATGAGATCCAGGATGAAGAACAAGAACAAGATGAAATAGAACAAAATAGGCTGTTTTCTCTGTGGGAAACAGTAGCCAACAGTCATCAAGTGATACTTCCTCAAGGCAAAAAAATTAATCTAACTTTTTATTTGCTGCATATTGATATACTGCACTTGCAAAGTGGAGAGACGGTAGAAATTTTTCACCTATAGGGCAAAGTCAATTTGTATAAAAGAATTGATACTGATTTAAATTTATTTGCAGTGTTTTAATCTCAATTTCTATTAAAAGATACCCAGAATTAATAAAAATAGTAAATAACACAATTAAAATCTATTCATTTAAAGCAGTATTTCTCAACCTTGACAACTTTAAGAAGCATGGACTTTAAGATGATGGCTGGGAAATTCTTGGATTTGAAGTTCACACATCTTAAAGTTGCTAAGGTGAGAAACACTGATTTAAACTCATGATCAATAATGTATAATTTAAGACAGTGGTTCTCAACCTTTTCTTCACCACGGACCCCCTTTAAATACCTTTTGTGACCACAGACCATGGCCAGAGACCACCAAAACTTAAGATTTAAATCGTAACATTTCTTCAAGCCTTTGAGGACCCCGGTGACGACTAAGCACTTCCCCCACCTACGGACCAAAGGTTGAGAACCACTGATTTAAAGCAATAATGGAAAACTTTGAGAATCAATTACAAAAATAGATGGGAAAAACCAAGTAATGTCATTAAACTTGAAAAGACAAACATTGGGTGTTAAGGAATCCAGAAAATAGGAATAACCCATGAAAAGTCCCACTTCCTTGTGAATACCGAGGAAGTGAGGAAATAGAAAGTGCAGAAAAAAATAGAAAAATAGAAAAGAAATAATACAAGTATAATAAAGAAAAGAAATATATAAAGAAATGAATTCCCCTTCATTACAATAAGTATTAAACAATTTTAGTAACTTACCACCTTTTATACAACAAATGATCTCTTCTTACCATGTCCTCGCTCTTATCTATAAATAAATCCTTAAAGTCTCATCATTTGGTTCTGGTCAGCAAAAGTCCATTAAGGGTAACCAAAAATAACAACATACAACAATCAACTTTATATTCTTTCTTTTAACTCTTTTGAACTTTAGTCCCTTCTAAGAATATCCTAGGACCTAGAACTTTATTTTTTTTTCTTTATCTCTTCTCATAAAATTCTTCAAAACCTTAAAAACAATCCTAACCCTAACAAAGCTTTACAATTTTTTGTAAATCCAATATAGGAAAATTATTCAGATCATTCTTTTGTTTTTGTATACATTTTAATTATTGTTATCAGCTAGTTTCTTTTGTATATTTAGTGCAGCATTATTTTTCATGTCATTGTATTCTGCCATTTTTAAATCCACGTTCAGATGAGTCTTAGTCTTAAACATCTTCCATCTTTTAAACACGGTATATCTATAGAGGCAGACACTTAAAAATAATTTAACCGTTGCTCAAAATATCCTTCAGTATGTCCAGTTAGATATGTTAAAATATTTTCTCCATTCTGTATTAGTCAAATTTAAATGTTCTTATCCTTTCATTCTAATCTTTAGTTCCTGCTGGTTTTCTTTAATGCCTAGTCTTCAGTTTCAATCTATTTTTTTTAGAAAATTTAAAACAAAAGATTTCCCATGGGGCAGTTTTAATCAGCTTTTTGCTGTTTATTTGCTGTTTATTTCAAAATATTTTTGAAGTTCTTAACGTTTATATTTAAAACTTGTTTTGTAAGGATTGAAGGAAATTCAGTGCCATAAAATTTGTTAATTCAAAAGTTCCTAATAGCAGAAAAACATTAACAATTTCTGAAAGTGATGACAAAAAGGAATACTGTAATGAATCCACTGACCCATAAAGGCACCAACCACAGTTTGAGCAAAAAATAGCTATTCCCTTGTCTCCCAGATTTCTAAACCTGCTAGAGACTATTGTATTGCAGTCTCCTCGCAAGGAGCAGTTGTATGGAGCACTTGTGGGTGATCTTAAGTCCTCTCCTTGTCCAGAGAGGAATTATGAAGAGCTGGTCTGCTCACCAGCTCTTTATTCCACTGCATTCATCATCTCCGCTTTTAGTGGAGGTGCTTCAGTTCACTGTTTTTGTCCCAGAAATCCCAGTGTTCTCTCCATCTTTCAGGTGAACCATCCACTTTGTTTATTGTTGTGTTACCTATTAAGAATATGTCAGTTTTCCCAATGAAGGTAGTTGGTAGAAGTGTAATGAAGACTTTAATAGACACAGGTAGTCCTTGTGATTGGCAGTTCTATTATCTCCATTTCTGCACATTTGTGGTTAAAATACCACACCTCAATATCTGCAGTAATGAGTTTTGTGTATCTGCATTTTTTTGCCCTGGAGTTCCAGATAGTTTGCCATTATGCACACACACAAAGGATGCATTGAACTTCCATCCACATAACCTTCCCAGATATCTGCCACTTATCTTTCCAGAACCCATCAGCCCTAATCTTGCCACACATCCACCAATCTTCATATTATCTTCCAGTTATTAAGTTCCTATGCTGCCCATCTCACCTAAGTAACCATTATATGGGTGTCCTCTTCTTGCATACGTTTTTGGAAATGTTTATATCAAAATGAGCAAGTAGATAGTACTGTAGTGGACTACAGAGATAATCTCGATGAAGGAATGGAACAATTAATCCTGGATATTCAAAGGATATTCAAAATAACTTGCAGAAAAACAATATTTCTGATTTGGAAATTATGTTAATTTTGTTTGGTATAAGGGAATAAAGAGGGATATTCTGGCAGGCTTTTATTATAATCTATAAGAGTGAAGTACAGTAGCATTCCTGAATCCTTGCTCTGTTTGTTTCCTGATCTGGCCTTCCTTGAAGGGCTGACAAACAGACTGCTGAAGAAAGTGGCAAAAATTCTCACAATCTGCTGGGCTTGAGTGAAAAAGTAAAGCTGCTAGTCATGTTGCTTGTACAGACACCCATTGAACACCATTACAGTATCAGTGAGTTTATTGTCAACTGCATAAAGAAAAGCCAATATCTGTGCAAGTGTTGCATTGAGGACATCTCAAGAATGTCAAGGTTTTATTGTATGGGATCCCTAAATATGGGAAAGATCCTTGAAGTGTTGGTACAGAACCAAGCCTAGAAGAAGATTCTATTGAGTAGATCAGTAATCTGGAAGAAATGCTACAGCTTTATAGGCAGTTTGCAGCAGGAGGTGCTGAATGTGGTCAGTGCCCAGTAAGGCCTGATTTCAAAGACTTAGGAAGCACTATATCTTCTGCAATATCAAACTAATAGGAGAAGTAGTGTTGATGAATCACAAAATAGCAGAGAAATATCCACAGAGTTCTAACTAAGCATGAAAGGTAAAGACATAAGCTGATACAAAATAGATGAGACTGACCGTTCTAGAAATGGATGGCACACTGCTCCTTAATCAGGAATATTCTGGGCTTCAAGACAGTCAAGTGTCACTTTTTTCCTGAGATGTGGCAATGCTGTAAGGAACTGTTATGTTATCAAAGCCATGCTTCTTAGAACTCTCATGCCGTGAAAAAGAAGAACCAGTTTCCCATTTCTGGAGAACTGACCCTCTGCTTTTCTCTAACTCGTTCTGTTGCATTCTACATTGTGTGATATTTTGCCTCTGAGAATCTGGTCTTCAGCGTCCTGCAGCTGTTCAACTACACTGCTGGTCATTCTGAGACAATGTAGTTGATAACACCCAGGGCTTTTTTTCTCATAGAATGCCCAGAACGGAGTTCCAGCACCTTTTTTTGGATGGAACCTTGTAGGGTAGGCAAGGTGGGTTGTATGACGTGTGTGAGTTCCAGCACCTTTTTTTTTTTTTTTTAGAAAAAAAGCACTGGATACACCCATATCTTGAAATTTATTTATTTATTTATGAGACTTATATACCGCTTTAAGTGCAAGCACTCTCTAAGCGGTGTACACCAGTAAGCAATGTATATGTATATTTACATTGCCCCCAACAATCTGGGTCCTCATTTTACCTACCCCGGAAGGATGGAAGGCTGAGTCAACCTTGAGCCGGTGAGATTTGAACCGCTGACCTGCTGAACACAGTCAGCTAAAGTGGCCTGCAGTACTGCACTCTAACTGCTGCGCCACCTCGGCTCAGTAAATCACTATTTTGCCATCCAGCATCACCTTCTTAACTTTTGGACCAAGGTCTGATAACAACACCTTCAAGATGATGCAGGAACTTATAGAAGTGAGTCCAAGCTTTCAGAAATGTTAAATATATATAATTCACCAATGTTCCATGACTATTGGACCCCTTCCCCTAAATGTTTAAAAAGGCGGAATGACAGATCTTTTTTATCTTAGTGCTTAAGAATTTGAGGACTGAATGTAAGATCCTGTTTTGTTATGACTATCTTCTGGTTTCAAGTTTGAAGATTAAAAAGACGTGTTCTCCGTTGATTTTTGAACTATATTGTAAAAAGTAGAAGATCTCAGTACTTCATTTTTTTGTTGAGTTAATTATATATTAATACAATATTGTCATTTTATTTTTTCCTCTTTCATGTTAATTATACATATTTTTAATTATATTATGACAAATTTTTGTTTCTTAATCTCACTATAATCTATGAAGTAAATCTTTTAAAAAACCCATCAATTTCTATTCATCAGCAAATGCTGGAGGAACTCTACTTTGCAACTGCATTGTAGGCAGTCATCTATTCATCTGCTGTAACTGAATAACTGATAAATTGCAATGGATCCCCAACTTTGCATGCATTGTCGGTGGAGAGGATTGGAAGACTTCAAATCACAAAATGTGGAGGAATTCCCTCAATTCTATCAGAAGCAGCTGATGTAGGAAGAATTGGAAGAGATCTTCTCCTTCAAAGCAAGTTGCTGTCTGATAGCCTGCAACTGGGGCATGTCTTGGTGGCATAAAGTGCTTGAACTTTATTCCCTGCAGAGCACAACATCAATTCAAAAGGCAAATACAGGCTGGTTTGCAACACCATTATGACTAAGTCAGCTACTTTGAAATGGTAATTATAGCTATCAGCACAACAGTGGAGTCATCATCAGAAAACATCATTGGTACTAAATGCCTTATACAGTATTCTTATTTGCCTGTATTTTATAAGCACTAAACACTGTATACACTAAAAATGACTACTACTACTTTACTATTAGTATTCTTTAATTACTTTGAAGAAGGAAAGATTGATTTTTGTTGCTGCAGACCAAAGACCAAGAAAAGTAGTGCTGTGAACTCTAGAGTGGAATAAAGAAACTCCAGTGTTTCTTTATTTTGATTTTTGCTGTTGTCATTCCAGTACTCAGGTAAAGAAGAATTTACAATCTGAGATAGACAAAGTCCAGCATGCTTATTTCTACTCTGCCAGACAGTTTTTAGCAATTTTTCTCTCTCTAGAACCTAGCATTACCCCCCCACCCCCCAAGTCCCACAGACTCAAAAGTCTCAACCACTTCATTATGCATGGTTGGAGGCTGGAACACACAAATATGAATTAATGAAAAGCATTTTAAGTAGAAGGTTATTTAGAAATGCAGTTGTGTACAAGTGTTTTCATCCTTAAAGTTAATTTTTCCCAATTAACTCTGTTCCAATAGACATGGCAGGTCCAATAGTACAGATGACCCACCATAACCATGTGCGAGAACCTGTGCCGTATACTGTTTTATCACAGCATGAGAAGGTAAGCAATCATATTAATGTAAATATTTATTGCCTAACAGGCATAGACTGCTGTTTCTGAATAATGTAATATATGTATCCAGCTGATTGTCATATTTTTCGATAGAGGAAGAATTGTAGAATAAAATCATAAAATGTTCCTGGTTTCCTTAAGTATCCATGATTTCACCCAAACTATAGTTCTAGGCATCATTAAGTTTCTACCAAATTTGTCTTTTGGATGTGATTTTGAGGATATAGCCTATTATATTTCTGCTCAAAACTAAATTTCACCATCTGCAGTAAAGCAGTAGAGAACTACAGTCTAAATAGTCTACCATGCAAATTATTCCAGAATAAGACAGCTTAATAATTTTCAGAATTTAAATCCTGTCAGGCTGCTTGACCTTTTGGAAAGATTTACTATATTAGGGTCATAGCCCAAAGGATGATGGGTAGGAGTTCCATTATACTCTTTCCCATGAATCTGCTTTTTTTTACTGTTTACTATTTCAGTTTTAATGATGGCAATATTCTTAAAACAGTTATACCTGTAGCCTGTGTTAACTTTGCTTCAGTTTGTTTATATTAAGAACACATGGTGCCTTTTGGGATTATTCTGGACCAAATGTGTAGTGTAGATTGTTACCAACCATGTCTTCCTCAGAAACATACGTCTTTTTAAAAGGGACTAATGAAAAACAAAAGATAAGTTATCTCTACTTTTAGGTGCTTTGTAATTTCAGCTTATAGTGACAAAAATTAAAATGAATTATTAGGAAAGATATATTTTACATTTAAGATGCACAATAAAATGGATAAACACATATATACAAACACATGTGCACACAAACATACACAAGAAGATTTTACTTAAAACATTTATATCAGTAATACCGGTGTATATTGGAATATTAACATTACATATAGTTAAATGTTTCCCCAAATTTGTATTTTTTTAAAAAATGTGAAACAGTAGCTTTTATTCACATACCAACATTTCCCAAAAACTTATATAATTTGTAAAGATATCAAATTTGACTCAATTAATGTAATTATCTAGATTTAAAAACTCATAAACTTTGTTACCCTGTTGATATTTCTTCTCCTGGCAGTAAAATCAGTTCTTTCCTTCTTGGTTCAGTGTGAGGAAACAACATATGAGGAACGTCTGTACTCTGCTGGGAAATGGGCATGCATCACCAAAGGAGAACCCAAGTATGAGCAGAGCACCTCACTGAGTTTCATGAAACTTATAAGATACATCTGCAAAGAGAATTCCCTAGGTATGTGCAGGCAAGTGGCATGGGGTGATGTAGAAATTTACATGACCAGGATTAATGGGGTTTGGAAAAAAAAGGAATGGATTTCCCTAGGTTTACCTTTCATAACTGGTATTTTTACCTATATCTTTATCCAGGCCAGCACTTGGGGATGACAGTACCTGTGATTAATGAGATCCACCTGAATAAGGAGGGTACTGATTTGGTCCAAGAAGTTATCACTGCTTATTATCTTCCTCAGGAATTTCAGCTTAATCCTCCTCTCCCTATGGATCCAGAAATCCAAATCCTAGAAAGATCACCACTTCGGGTTATCACCAGGTAAGTCCTGGTGGACCTGGCTATGCTTTAGATGCAAACAGCCTTTTAAGTAGAGTAGGAATTGACTTGCTTTTAATTCTAAATAGGAAAAAGAGTATGCATGCCTGGGAAAATAGTTTCTAAGTAAAGGAAAATATGCCTTTGGTTATATAATGGAAAAAGGAAAGGATCTTGTGGCGAAATTGGCTCTTTGTTAGGCCAGTTTTTCTCATATTTTAAAAAAGATTAGGAACCTTGCACTGATTGATAGATAGATGGGTAGGTGAATGCTGGATAAATAGGAAGGAAACCAGATGCTAAACACAATATATTTATGTAACTGTTTTGTTGTTAACTTTCTGTAAAGGGAGTTTTATGGGCCAGCTACTGAGGAGACAATCCTGCGAGAGATTCACTTTCTTTGGGAGTTATTGGGCTCGACAGATAATGTGCTCCGTGAAACATACTTGGTGGCTGCATATCAGAACCCTAGTATACCCAATCGTCGCAATGAGATATGGTTTATCCGAAGAACAGATTGAAAGCACCATGGATTTCTGACAAGTGAATCCAGTGAATCCCGTTTAGATGGCAGTTCTAGCCTGAAGGAGATGAATGCACTTCCCAACTTACTCTAGAACTGACCTGATGACCCATTTCTTTTCCTTGAGGGCATTAAGGAGTTGTGTCCCCTCCTATGACTTCAGAAATAGGGAAAAACAAGAACATGGAAAAGTAGCATGGTTTTCTAATGTTCCTGGAGGGAACTGGCACTGGAAGAATTTATGGATATCTGCTTCATTGACTTTGAAATTTGTCCATGCACAGTTGAGTTAAAATGCATCAGAAATTGCAACTGTTCAGCAGTCCCCATCTGGTATTTCAAATGTTCTGAATTCATCTGGAAATGAATTTGGAGTGGCAGTCTGTAGCTGGATGGGGCATAAGTCATGGTTTTACTTCCAGTACTTACTTAGAGAATTTAATTTCTGGGCAAGAGGCTATATCTTTTAGCCATGTATAAGATACTTCTAATCACCTTTGTTCCAGCTTGACATGGAATAATTTCAGACATCCTAAGTGGATTGATTTGAATATATCCTAGAAAGCCCTTCCCAGGAACAATCTCCCCTGAATGGGAGATCAGAGAATTGGAGATCAGAGAAATCCTCTTCTGTGTTCCTAAGAGTGGTATAACACCTGTTCTGTGACCTATCCGCCAACTGGACTTGTATTCATAGATGCTTCCAGACTGCTGATTACTGCTTTCATTTTTCCCTCCTTTATAGACTTTTTTCTATTAATAAAAGTAAATGGAAGCTACAGCAGAAAAATATAGGACTCTTATCAATGAAAAAATTGATTATATGGACCCTGAATTCCTTTTTATTTTCTTAATGAACAAGGTAATTGTAAAATAAAGGCCACATCTAAAAGCATCCCATCATTTTGCAGACCCTATAGCATTGAGTGAGCCATATGTTTAAGGTGGCTGCATTGTTGCATTGCCCTATATCATACTACATTGGTTGATTTCATGGCCAAGAAAGTTGCTGTCTTCTCTGAAGGAGGACAATAATAGCACAGAGCAATTGTGAAATAAAATCTAGCTCAAACCTCTCTGATGCTTTTTATTGAGTTACATGGCATCTGATTTTATTTATTAGATTTTTATCTCACCTTTATAAGTAACTCAAGACAGTGAACATATATAATACACCTTCCTCTTCCTCTTTCTCCCATTACAACAACTCTATGAGGTGGGTTGTCTAAGAGAGCATGACTGGCTCAAAATCACCAAATCAGTTTTTATGCCTAAGGCAGGACTAGGCCTTAACTACTACACCAAACTGGCTCTAATTTTGATGATGGCTTAACATTATTTTTTGAAAGTCCAGAAAGAGTTGTTATATAAAGAACAAATGAAGCATGTTTGTTTGAAACAGGAACACTGATTTTACACTGTGACTGTCTTCTCTTCTTAAATGGCTATGTTTCTGAAAATTTCCAAATCATCACCTAGAATTTCCCTTGACTTCTTACATATCTCCAGTGGAAATCAGATGAGATCTAACTAGCTATAGTGGAACTTTTTCTGTCATCAAGGGTGATAAAATGTGTGGTATGTTCTATTAATCTACCAGCAGAATCAGTATACAGTAGCCACTGAACTGTGTAACTTCCCACTCCATAAACCCTCAAATTCAATTTTTAGTACTTCAATTGATGGTAAATGAGCATGTTTTATATTTTTAGAAACTATAACTTTGATTTTAGTTATACAGATATTCACAGTTGCAGAAATTAGTACATGTTCTATCACCTTCATTCAATTAGATCTAGCACTGTGCAGCTATAATTCAGCAATATCTAGAATTCTTCAGTGATAAGGATCCAGTGCTTATCTGGCTATGGTATAATATGGATTTAATAACCCTTTGATCATTTTGCTATTTGTAGCAAAACAGCAACGTTTTATTTTTAAACTAAAGTTTTTAAAAACTTTTAGAAATGCAGTATTGAAACTGCTGCAGAGGTACAAAATTCTCGGGTCTTTCAGAGACTGATCAGGCACTTCAGAGAAAATGCATTTGTTTAAATGATGAATAATCAAAGATCTAACAGGAACAGAAAAGGAGACAGTAAAAACATGCATTTTGCAAATACAGAAGGGAATAGCAAGATACACTGGGATTATACTGAAAGCAACAATGCACACAGAATGCAGAAAAGAAATTCTTTTGCTACATTAGCAAATAGCAAAGATACTTAGCAGAAACAATGAAGTAATCCAAGAATTATCTGGTTTTGGTGAATAAAATATATGGATTACTTCAAGATTTTTAGGTCTATGGTTTAGATAAATGTTAATGGAAGAATTATTTTGGTACATATGATAAACTAAACCAGTGATGGGGAACCTATGATGTATGTCAAAAGTCACAAGCCACATTTTGGATTATATACCAGGATTCACCAACACCCAACAACAACTATTCTTGAAAGCATGCCACATTTTCATGCCATTTTTGGAAGATGCAGAGGCTACACAAGAATGGGGTGTGCTCTCATACAGCCTCCAGAAGTTGTGTGAGAGGGCCGTGCTCTTGCATGGCCTCTGGAGCCTCTGAAAATCACATGGGAACAAAGCATGCTTTCCATAGTTTAAGAGCACACTGTCTGAAGATAAGTAGCACACAGCATAACCTAGGGACCATTGAGACACAGGGGAATTTGCACCATTCCCCAAAGCTTGTGCATCTGCTGGTGGCACTTGGGCTGAAGCTGAGGCCTGGGCCTCAGCCTCAGGCCCAGCCTCAGTGCTGCCACCAAGTGCCACTGTTTAGAGTGGTCTAACTGGCGAGATAGGAGTAAAAAATGCAGTTAAGCATAACTACATATTCAATGGCAGCTAGGATAATATTGCATAGTGTAGGATTAAAACATCTGAAATAAATCCACCTCATGTTATAACACAAAACATTCCAAGATGTGTCTCATTACTCTGAATTAGTGAACAGTCCTCTGGCTCTAGGTCATTTGTCTCTCTCTTCTCATGGCTGCAATCCTAAATTCTTGGAGACTGACTAGACAAATCCCTGCAGTTTTCTTGGCAAGGGAAGAAATGATTTGTATCTTTCTAAAGCCCATTAACTGGAATTCCTTTTTAAATGATTGAATTGTGTATCCTTTATTTTCATTTGAGCTATTGATTTCCACAATCATTGATGGTTTCCTAACCATAGCACAGAGCAACAAATCTTGGAAATAAGAGTGATATAAAGTATAATAGGCATTTAACCCTCTATGACTGGCTATATACTTAAGAAAATTTTAACAGGCTCCTACCTTTAAGAAAACTCAATGTCTTCATCTATCCATCTAGAAAAAAATTCAGGAAAAAGAAACTTCAGCTTACAAAGTGCCCTTATTTCCCGTTTACATTTTATAAGATCTAATTAAGGATAGTGTAAAATTGTTCTTTTATTATGTGAAAGAGAAGTAAAGGGATTCATCAGTAATTTCCAAGTTTTCAACATATTAGTGTGAAATTCGAAATTGTAGTGTTCTGGAAGGAAGAGGAATCAAGACTTTGGCTTGTGAACCATTGACTTTAATTTCACCCTTTCACTGCACTCTTATACTTATTTCAACATAGCATTTACAGTGGAAGATAGAAGTAAAAATATTATCGATGGCTTCTGTTTACTAAAACAGAATCCTAAGAGAAGAAATAATCAATTACATTAAAATGTTGGAATGAACACCATAGTTTTTGCAAGAAATTTTTACTTTCATAGTGAATTATTTGTCTCTTGAGAGACAAAACTTAAACCATTGTTAGTAGCAAATTGCATTAAATTACCTGGTCTAGAGAACAGAATGCTTATATAGAATTAGTCATCCGGCTTAGTGTATGAAATTATTCCAATCCATGGCAGATATATCTGAGGACAAAATTAATATGAGTAAAAATTAATTAACAGAAATTAAGAAATACAGAGTTGATCAAAGTGCCTTTGAAATTCTGAACATTAACTTTAAACACATTTTACTTCCCATTATTATCAAATAGAATAGTAAGGACAGAATGGCCATGGCTGAAGTTTGCTGCAGTATAGCTCACCTGAAGAATTTGAACAGCAGAAGCTGCCTTAGATCAGTTCTTCAAAGTGTGTTCCACGGAACCATAAGGTTTTGTAAGAACTTGATGCAGTTGAGTGAAAGATTAAGGGAAAACCCCAAGGTGCTTTTTCCAAAAGGCAACTGGATATTCTTGGGGTTTTGTTTAAAAAAGTTTTGTTTCTCATCCAAGAAGCTTCTTCAGTTCTTGGATGAGGAGCAAACCTTTTCAAACAAAAACCCAAGAAAGTCCAGTTGCCTTTTAGAAAAAGTACCTTTGGGGCAACCTTAATCTGAAAGATTGAGAATTTCCATAGATGCCAAGGACAAACAAAAGTACATTCCCTCATAGCCATTTTTTTTGTTAGTACAGCTCTTGATGAGGGTTTCTAGGAATGGTTTTCCATTAACAAGTTCCATGGGCTGAAAAAAAAAAAGAAGAAAACTTCTGCTTTAGGCCACCTTTCCTTCTACATACCTTTGCAAGAAAGGCCTTTACATCAATTGCTCTGAGATCAAAAACCTCTTTTTTTATATAGGATTCAAAATGTTTTATTGTTGAATATTTGACTTTTTAAATATTGCCTTATAGCTAGTAGCAATTTGGGATGATATTCCACTACTTCCTCTCCACTAACAGTATCCATTCCACTGGAAGATTTTTTTTCCACAAACAGTGAATCCAGCTTTTCCAGTTTGACAAGATAGAAAAAGATTAAATAAACAACCACTAATTTATTGGATAATCATATTATTTGTTTATAGTACAGCAAATCTAAAATAATGACACATAGTACTAATTGTTTTTTTCCAACAGGGAATGATAATGCTTAGATTGGAACATTAAAATAAACAGCTATATCCTAGTTCTGTTGTTAACTATTACCATGAGATATATATTTAATAAATGAATAAGTAGAATTCTGTTCATATGCACTTTAAAGCAGAAAAAGAAATATTACAAATTTGTAAGCAAATGACCCTTTATTCTGCAGTTTTCCAAAGCAGCATGTGAATTCTCTGATTAACAAAGGCCATTTACTACATGGTAAGTATTTTGTGAAAACACGAACAAGGGTTATAATCTTTATTGCCTCTTCCCTAGTTGCAAGCCTGTAAAGGAAATAGGGTTGTCACCAGCCCTGCTGTTCTCAGCTTGAGATAACAAAGAAATGAAATAGGATACAGAACCCTTTGATGTTCCGGGCCAAATAGATCATAGGAAAAACCTTGGGGGCCTGGAGAGTTAGCAGTTTCTTGTTAAGTGTCCTTGGAGCAGGAGACTGCAATGTCATGTAGCAGGCTAAACAATCCACCATACAGGTATGACATGAATGTTGTATATAGAGTTTTAAACAATTGACTTTTAGACAATAACCAGGTGTCTTGATTAAATTGTAGTTTTTTTTATAAATCTAATGGCCACTATTCCACATTTGGATAATCAGTAAACCAACTCTGGGGGGTAAAATAGTACAAATTAACTGGATATTCTGGCATAGCATGTCATAAGAACACTATTTATAAATTGGCCCACTAAAGTGATACTTTACTAATTTTGAATTTTTAGCATGTCAATATTTGGAATTCTTGTTATAAAAGAATAAAACTATGAATTAGGAAAACTGTTAATAGTGCTAATAGCATTACTTATCAGATGATTGAGAGGAAATTAAAATGATTTTATTACTTCCTCAAGGGTTTGTGGTTTCCTTCTCCAAAGGACCTGCTTTCCTTAATTCCTGCTATAAAAACTAGACCTAAAGTCTGTTTTTTTTTCAGATAGTGGTTACACATGGGCAGTTATTTTTTTCAAGTAGCTAGTTCTATGTGAATAGATCCTAGTACCAATCAGAAGTCATAGCAGTTTTTATCTCTTTTCCCCCTTGAAATTAAAAAAAAATACAGAAGTTGGAAAAATTAAAAGTGAGTTAAAATTAAAGTTGGGTTTGGACTCTCTGTAAAATTAATAGATAGCATGATTCTATATTGAAGCTTAATCCAGGACACATACACAATTATGTTTTGCACAGCATTATTCCTAAGCATGTTCATATTATTCTACTTAAACTACTGAATAAACAATTAAAATATAACTTATTTGCATTATTTTGATGCACAACAATTCTCACATTATTTATTTACATTCCTTGAGCTTGGAACATCCCATCAAGAGCAATGATGTAGATTATAGCTACATAAATGTACAATTTTTAATCTCTCCATAAAAAAAATGTTTTGTAATAAACCCAAACTAGAGCTGCCAAAAGGTGAAACCTCATTAGCTTTAGCACTCAGGGTCCCCCTCAAAAGAAGTGCATTTTCCTGCAACATTTATGCACTACAGTATCCTTGAAATTAATTATATCCTTATTTACAGTATTTGAAAAGACTGCCCTACATTTATGAAAGTAATAGAATGATATCACTAAGAAAGAGCTGAAACACTAACTTGTAATTTAATCAAATAAGAACAAATCTACAGTTATATTTAGTCACATAAAAATCCATTACTAAATTTCAACATCCATTATATTTCCCAGGTACTTGTAGCATATTAAAAATTAAGTCTTGTAGTATTGAAATACATAATTTTCTAATGACAGATACTGAATATGTAGTCACATATACTAACCCAATTTAATCATGGTTTTTGAATAAACTGCAAAAGACTGGGTCACGTTAACGCCAAACCAGATAAACCACATTATGTTTAAGCTTGATGTATGATCCAGTACCCATTGAATGAGACTGAATGAGACTGCTAAATTTGAAATGAACAGAATTAAGGCTGTTTCATGATTAATGAGAAGAGACAGTGGATAACATTTAGAAGGCAGCCTTATGCATATTGTTTCACGAGGAACAAATTATCTGGAAAAGGCAACAAAGAATTTTATGGCAGTTTAAAAAATAACACATTTATTAAGGCACAAAAGTTTGCAGGTTCAGCCTCTCCCATTCATCAACTGCATAGAGTAGAATCTTGAATGATGAAGTGTGCATGTATACCTACATTCATATATGTATACCTCTATTATGTGCCCAGAATTGGTTGCAGTTCTTTGATTATGTATCATCATGTCAGCGAAGACTCTTAGTAACCACTGAAAGATTTTTCTCCATAAGGATCTGTCCCCACTGTGGTTCTTCAGGTCTTTCCATGGTGCTCCCATTGCCACTGTAACTAAATCCATTCCCTTTGCAGCTGGTTGTTCTTTCTTTCCATCTTTTTCCAGCATTGGAACCTTTTCCAGAGACTAGGTCTTAGCATAATATGTCCAAAACAAGAACCTAGTCACTTGCACCTGGAGTGACCATTCTGGGTTGATTTGTTCAGTGATAATTTTTTTCCTTCACTATCCAGGAATTCTCAGAAATCTTTCCCAACACAAAAGTTCAAAAGCATCAATACTGTCTCCTCTTCAAATCTCTGTAAATCAATCAATCATACAATGGGAGCAGTAGTGGGAGGAGGTTACAGCTGCTAGAAATAGACAATAAGATGAGGGCGAAATGAACAGAAGAAAATATAGACGGAATCTAAACATATTGCTAGTAATTCTAAGTAAGACTATCGGATTGCAACATTAATTTAGTTAACTAGTATTAACCAAACTGAAGCATATATTTTCGGGAGTGTCTCTAGGACATTCCGGGAAACCTTTCCTTTGAAATAATAATAAAAAACCTCGCATCGGGTCTCCCATCTTAAGAGCCCACCAAGTCCAGTCAGTAGAGGTCGCCCGCCAACCGGACAGGTAATTGGAGAGGAGAGGAGAAATAAGTCGGGGCTGGTGGTCGGCAATTAGGTCCTGGCCTGCCTTTGCCGGAGCGGGATCCTCCTGCCCGGAAGCTCCACCTTGTCCCGGGTGTGCGAGGGGAGGGGAGGGGCCGGGGCTGGCTTTGGCGGCTGGGCTGGCCTGGGCTAAGAGGTTTCTGGAGCTTTTTCTGAACAGCATGGAGTGAAAGCGGGTGCCAAGGCCGGAGTTGGCCGGGTGCAGCCGAAAAGAAAATCAAACCGGTGCAGCGTTGACCGCGGAGATGGCGAGGGGAGTCCTCCTGCTGCTGCTGCTTGGTGAGTGCGAGGCATAACTGGCCCTCTGACTAGTCGCCTCTTGTTCTTGTGCCTGCCCGGCCGGCCAGTCGGTCTGCCTTGCCACTCGACACTGGGCGTCCCGCGCCGGCGTTCTTTTCCTTCTAGTTTGTTTGGGCTGGGCAGAACGGGAAGCCCCATTTTATGCTTTTGTCTGGAGGTGGAGTGGGGAGCGAGCAGGGTTTTGGAGAAAACGAAAAAAGTCGGTCCTCGCCCTGCCTCTTGAGCAGCGTGGATGCACTTTCTTCGAGGCGCTGAAACGTGCTCGGGTGGACCCCAGTCCAGCGAGGCGCGAGTTTGGGGCTGCATTAGAAAGTAGGAACTCTGCTGCTGGGGGAGTTTTTTGTTTTTTTTTTTAAACGCGCCAGCACCATTACAACTAACCACCCCCTTTCAAGAGGTTCCTTTGTGTCCTCCGGAGATGTTGGAGGGAGCTGGGAAGTGGATGCCGAGAGTCGGTGTCTCTCTTTCCCGCTCTCTCTCCCCGCCCGCTCTCTCTCCCCGCAGCCATTTGGTGCCAAGACCCAATCAAGCCCCTCTCCGTCCGTAAGTGATTTCTTTCCCTCGCTCGCCGCCGCCGCCGCCTCCGCCGCTGCCACAACAGTTAGCGTCTCCCCCTTTTCTCCTCCCCTGTTTCGTTAGACCAGGCCCAGCAATTGCTCGGTGCCATTCAGACTGAACAGCGGGATCTTTCTCAAGCTGGCAGGCAACATTTCTTCTGGCTCACTCTAACGTGCTGGTTTGAAACTGCTCCAAGAAGGGCGAGAAAGGGGTGGCTGGAGGAATGAGAAAAATACATGCCAGTGCCTTTCTTCTGCTCCATTGGTGTCTTCAGAGAAATTTAAGATTCCATTCTTGATTCTGATAATGAGTCTCTCCGTTCCGAATGGTCCTGAGAAATAATTGCAAGGTTAAATAAAGTCGTATTTATTACTGGACAATCCTATATGTGCCCTTTTGTGTTAAAATTGCAGCTCCATTGGAGACATCTTCCTTAGTAAGAGTTCTCAGGATTCCAAACATTTGCCTATGTCTTCTGAATCACTGCCATTGATAAGCTACTAAAGCAGTTGTGACAACTTTCAATCTAAACCTTGATGATAGATGATGAATTTGAGACTATACCCTAGAATTTAAATTAACATAGTTCCATAGATCGTGGAATCAGATTATCTTGGCTGAGAAACGTGGCTAATGTTGTTTAAACCTGTGGAGAGGAGGGGAGATTTCTTTAATTCACCCTCCAGTAATAACTCCCATTGATTAATTAGAAGTGCCAAATAGTTTTGTTATATTACATTTGGTAAGTAATATGTGTATACAGGAATGAAATTATTGGCACATCTGCGATCTAGTGTTGATAAAAGATTTTGAATTTGAATAGGAGTGAAATTTCTGAATATGTTATTCACATAGACAGGGTATATCATGCCAGATTAATAGCTGGCATGTTATGTATTTGAAATGCCTTTGCTCTATGCAGTTTCTCCATTATTAAGAATCCAAGGAAGGCCTTGCAGCAGTTTTGATCTTGGAGATGATAATCTTAACTGAGAGCTTCACATGTTAGAGAATTATCTAGTACAGTACTTAGGCCATATAGAGTGCAAAATAAGGCACATAAACTCTTAATATTGGGTTTTTTGTCCTCCAAGGAGCAATAAAACTTTATAATAATAAATTGTGCTATTGCTGTTAGAAATTTGCACTGTTGGTATACTTGTCAAAATGTTGAATTCTAGTAATCAAGATTATTTTTAATTCTTTATCAATGAAGAATGCTTTTCACCAGTATATACAAAATAGCAGCACAGTTGTATTTAATGCTTAATATTCTCTTCAAGTTTCATGTCATAATATATCTGATTTCAATATGAAATATGTACTCACTGATATAGTGGAAGAAATTGTGAAATTTAAACTGATATTGATATTTTTCTATGAGTCATGTGTTCTATTTAAACGTTTAAAATTTTTCATCAGTAGATGACTTGGATTTCAGAAAGAATTCACCTTAATAAATAATCTTATTGAGAGCAAATAGAGCTATTTTGTGGATTGAAAAAGGAAGGCATTTTGAGGGAAATTAGTTATCAGTCATAAACTGGGTTCATGCGTTCTGTTCAGCTATGGCTTGTTTTACCCATCTTCTGGTACATCTCAGTTGACTGAGTTTTCATACTTTGGTCAAATATGGTGTATGGAATGAACTGCAGTTAAGACCAAAAGCTATAAGCCTTAAAATGATAAGCCATTACAAATTATAGCAGCCAGCTTCTCACTCCATGCTGTGCCCAAGTTACAGCATTATCTCATTGAACATCCTGTTCCAGAAAATTTTTAATACTCCTAAAGTTTCAGATGTTGGTTTTAAATTTTTGATGTAAATGCAAATTTTTAATTTTGCTTATTTCTACATCTGTCACTTTTTATTTGCTTCTGAAATTAAATATTTAAATCTTGGCTTTAATTTATAATGGATATTTGTGAGAAAAGAAAATCCTGCTTCCTTATATTGAATTGATAAATTTATTTATAAGGTCAGCTAACAACTAATTAATTTTAATAATACAGTAGAGATTTTGAGTAGTTTAGAGTGATATTTACGATACTTCTGGATTTAGAAATATTATTCTTTATCCCTTCAGAGATTAATATTTATTTTACAGTATCTCAATTCAGGGCTGCAACTTCCACAACATTATGTTTCTTCCTTGCCTGTAATATCTATCTAGTACTCAATTACCTTTGGAATATTATTCCAAATACATTGCTAAACTGCAGGCACTGTGATGATTACAACAACCCACTTCTTAATTCAGAGAATTAGATGAAGTTTAATATCCTCTTGCGGAGGATTTGGTTAAGGAAATATATTGTATTTTTTAAAAAATGTCTCAATATGTAACATGTTTGATAAAAGTTATTGGCTATCAAGTGAGCAATAAGAATGTTTGATTTCAGATTATTTAACAAAACTATTCTAAAATATGACAAAGATAGATAATATACAACAATGTACATTAAAAGACTAATGCTTAATTTGTGCAAAGAACATTAAAACAGATTGGAATCAGAAGAAGGTTTATAGAACTTAGTCCTATTGAAACCAAGTGTCATAGATCCCAGTGGAAACTAAATAAAATCCAGGGATCTGATGGATAAACTACTGACTTTATTGAGTAGAGGAGATCATCTACAGCATGTCTGAAACTAATTAAATGCATGTGGCCTATAGAACAAGTTTCCCTGTAGAGTGAATTTCATCCATCAAGTATGCAGAACATTTGTATAAGAAAATGCTAATTAATGTCTCCATGCTTTAGGACTTAGTATTTATATTTCCAGCAAATACTGATAATGCACCATGGAGCTGAACACATGATATTTCTAAAGTACTTAAATATTAAGCTATTCCTCAAAAGAGATGCCAAGGGCAAGTAAGTACAAGAATAACCCATGAAAGAAGGCAAGAAATGCATGAAAATGAAGCTGGTATGATTAGTTTAAATTATAGGGCAGCAGCGTGGGCATGCTGGATGGAATGGCAGAAACCTTTGAAGTAAGGTAGCTGTTAAATTATGAAAGCAGCCTTTGTGCTACCTTTTCACTGTAGGAGGGGTGTAGGCAAACCTCAATCTTAATGTGCCTAGTCTGTTTGGCATATTGCATTTTATTCTGCAACATTGTTATAATGTGTATTTATAAGAAATAAATTCAAAGACAGGGTTTTCTGGAGATCTTTTAGACTGAATGGAATGAATGGTCATTTTGTTCATCCTGTAGATTTTTACTTAAGTACAAGTAAATAAAATTAAGGAAATGGGTCCTCACTTTTAAACAGTCTGTTTATATCTGCTTTATATGCTAATGCTAGAGCTGTTTATAATTTACTATAATTCTATAAAGTCTATAATTTTGACAACAGCAATAGATATGGAAGTTGAATTAATGAAGGAATGTTAACAGTCACTAGACAATGTTGTTGAAGTTAAAGTTCATGTACTATTCCCCTTAATTAAATATAACTATATGTTATTACATGAAACTACTGATACCAGTGTGTTTTGGATTAGTTATCTAATGAAGAAGGAGCTGTAGTAATTGCTAAAGAAGTCCTATATGTTTTGATCAAAGACTATATTATAAATTGAGGAAAATCTAATCCTCTCCTCTTCACAAAATCGAAAAAAATATGGTTGGTTGCAGTCAGCCAGATATTTAAGCTGGATTTGGTCTTTTGTCCCCCTATCAAGTCCTTCCCAAGACCCTGGAATAGCAGGTGTTGTTTGAGGTGCTAAAGGTACAGCAGGATATAATCTGTTCCAAGTAAAACTGCTTTTTGCAACTGACTGATAATAATCAGTGCTGATGCTGTTCAAGTGGCGCTCCAGATACTTTGGAATTGTACCCAAGGTACCTATTATTATTGGTACTATCTTTGCTTTCTTTTGCCACAGTAGTTCTACTTCTATTTGCAGGTCTTCATATTTTATAATTTTCTGCAGTTCTTTCTTTTACTCTAATCTCTTCAGGTATTGCAGTGCAGACTATTTTGTCTCTCAACAATTGTAAAGTCTGGGCTGTTGTTTAACGGATGCTTCTGTATTTGAATTCTAAAGTTCTAGAGCGCTTTAGCTTTTTCATTTTTGATTTTGTCTATTTTGTGGTCCTATCAGTTCTTGATTTCAGTGAAATGGTAGTTCTTGCAGATATGATTTATGATGATGATGATTGTGTTTTATGATTATGATTATGATTTATCACTTGTTACTTGTATGTAAACTGAAAGCTTATGCATTGGAGACAAATTACTTATGTATCCAATCACACTTGGCCAATAAAGAATTCTAAATAATTTTATTCCAATGCACCATTATTGCTACTTTCTCATGTCCTTGTTTGTAATCAGTTTGTGTGATCTTTTTGCAGCATCTAACTAGGTGGTGCAATTTTTTTCTTCAACTTCTTTGCAAAAGTGG